TCTGAGATCTTTTCCAGTGGCTCAATACCTGAAACTTGACGAGACACCCCCCTGGTAGATGCGACTGAAGTTCTACGGCTAACGCCGGAGGGACCAGAAGGTGCACGGTTTGAAGACGGATCCTGTCCGGGTAAGTTTGTTCTATCTGAACCTGATGTCATTCTCTGAAAGACCTCACCCTCGGGCGCCATCAAGGGACCAGAAGGTGCAGGGTTTGAAGACGTCGGATCCTGTTCGGGTAGACGCTCGGGTGGACGCTCAGCTTCCTGGCGAGGTGCGGATCTTGACCTTGCCCTCGCTCTCGGTGTCCCTGGCGAAGACCTGGGCGTCGGTGGTATAAACATCATCGGGCTGAACATGGGAGACTCCAGCACGGGTCGACCTGCCGGGTCCAAGGTCAGCGGAGCTGGTTTTGGGGCTTGCTCGGACTCATCCTCAAGCACCACTGGAGTGCCCGGTTGAGCTTGCAGAGGTTCCTCGGCACGGGGCTCCGTAGATCGCGCGGCATCTGCAGCTGCATCCTCGGCCAAGTCCTCGGCCAAGCGGCGATCTGCTGCGGGACCTGGACGGTCTTCATGTCGAAAAGCCCTGGGGTGCAACTGCAAATCCTTGTCAAACTTTCTAAGAACCTCCAGGTCCTGAGGGTCCGGAGTCCACCATTCCTCCTCACCAAAGATGGGCCGGCACTGTTCAGGAGAGGCCTGCACCAAGCGGCCGCGGGAATTGCGAATCCAGAGATTAGCAGCGATGTTGGAGCTGGGGTTGCGGTCGAGAGAAAGCACCACGCCTTGCCTATATCCCTCCAGCGTCCCTTCTCCGTCGCCGGTGGCGGTCCGCTTACGATAGTAAGCCACCTTTTGACCGGGGTAGAACTCGCCACGGTAAGGTCTGCTTTTTCTCAAAAGGGCCGCTCGTAAGGCTTGGCTCGCTTCGTACTCATGATGGTTGATCATCGACTGAGTACGCAGGCTCTCGATCTGCATGAGTTTCTCTGAGTCGCTGATAAGCTGGGCACTTTCAATGCTACCGCCGTCGCTCAGCAGGGATCCCGGCAGTTTGGGGTCCCGGCCATAGACCCATTGATTGGGGCTAGAGCCACTTCGGCGCATCAGCCGATTCTTGGCCTGAACTGCTGAGGCCACACAAATGTTGACCTCTGCCACGGTCAGGGCTGCGAACTGATTGATGAGACGGGTGGCGTTGTAGCGAAGTGCCTGGCCGTGCCTTTCAGCCTTTCCCAGTTGCCAATGGGAGTCAGGCGGTATACATCTCACATCCACGTTCAACTGAGCGTGTAAAGCTTCGAATCTCATGCCCCGAAAAGCTCCCTCGGCGTCGATGGTCAGTTCGTCTGGTGGTCCGAAGTAGCAAAACCAACCGTTGATGAGGTTCGCCACAACATTTTCCTCGGAGCGTGACATCAACCTTGAAGCTGCCTGGTAGCAGGTTGCGTCATCTACCAGGTTCAAAAACATGTGAGTGCCCCCGCGAACGTCCTTGAGGTAGATGATGTCCATGGAGAGCCTGTCGTTGAACCGCCTGGCTTGAAAAACCTTGGACACTCTCGGTTGCCTTGGGGGGTTTACCCTCAAGCAAATCTCGCATCGTAGATGTCGAGCTCCTGAAAGTGCAAGCTCCGATGCCTTCGCTGCGGCGAGGTGCCTGACAAGCGTTTCTTTCGGGGGATGCCCCAAGTTGCAATGCACTCTTCGAAGTACTTGCTTTAGCCAGGCTGGCAGCTCCACTCCTGGAAAGGAGATGTCACGGTATCCAGGTTGATGTGGTCTCATTTGATCTTGTGGATCGCCACCAGGAGCCTCAGGCTTAGGCTTGGGTTGCTCGGGGAGCTCGTTGTCCTGCTCATTCAAACTCGTGACGGGTGCGTCGCCGTAGAAGAAGATGGCGATCCTAACGGGCTTGCCAAACTTGCCGGTTGGCGCCTGTATTATGGAGCTGATCTTCTCGGCCTCCAGCACGACCGTATCATCGTTGTGCAGAAGGGCTGCGCCACGGTGTTGAGTGCCTTCTTGAGACACCTCATTCGGCAGCCTTCGTTGTTTGGGCGCCCGGAAGATCTGAACTCTCTGAAGTTTCCAGGGGACCAAGGACTTCACTCTCTCGAGGTAAGGAGAGGGTTTCAGGGTAACTCCGTTGGTAGTCAGGTTCTTCAGTCTCTGCTCGGCCTCCTCCAGCAGAGGCTTCCAGGAGTCCTCGTGGCGATTGATGTCCAGGAAGAACACAGACGCCCGAGGTTCGCCAGGAGGTTCCCAAAGCAGCTCGAAGTTGTCCAGGGAACTCCCGTGGTATGCCTCGCATATCCACTTCTCATCGTCTCCTGGCAGACCCGAGTTGACGTACCAGTTTTGGTTCCATCTCTCATCACCTCGTCGTTGAAGGGCCTCTTGCAAGGCACTTATGATCACCTTGGTCTCGGACACGGAACTCATCTCGTCGCCGAGCTTGGCCGCCTCCTCGAAGAACTCGGGCAGGTCCGTCATGTAGAGGACATGTTGACACACCTTTGTACGCACACCCGGGGCCGACTGGAGCTGGCGGGCCCTTAGTCCAGACAGAAACTCTTCGGACTTATTTGCACGCATCCAAAAGTGAGTGCCCTGGTCCAGCATCTCGTGGAGCAACTGGCACACCTTGTCCGAGTAATCCCCGTGGTCACCTGGTTCAAGGAGTGACGGCACTCGGCAAACGACGACAAACGGTCTCCTCCGCTTGATCAGCTTCCTCAGTACTCGCACATCCATGCCTTGGGCTGCAGCATCCAGTAGTCCTACTGGCTCAAGCACACGTAAGCCCGCAATCAGAGCCATCTCCGAGATCTCGGGCACCACCGGGTCGAGCTCAAGGATGTCGGCGGAGTAGTCGCGGAGCTTCCGTGCAAGATGGGCTCGGTTCGCATACACAACTGCCTCGGTCTCCCAGGCTTGGAGCACAGCCTTGGCGGAGCCCAGCAGCCGCTTCTTGACCCCGTTCTTTAGCAAAAAGCAACCTTTGTCCTCGATGTCCAGCGGGTGGTCCGCTGAGCTGCGTGGATAAGCAGGTAGAGGAGGAGGATCATCTCTGGGACCGCCGGGACCTAGTAGTAGCCCTCCTCGAACTCGCGCCTCAGCTCGGGGGACATCTCGTTCATGTCGTCCGGCTCCCAGTCGTCGCGGTCCATTCTCTCGCGCCAGAGACTCGGATCGTCTCTCTGGCTCATCAGAATGGCGTCGATCTCCTCCGGGGTCAGCTCCTCGCCCTCCGGCGGTTGGCCTGGGCGAAAGTCTCGAGGTCCTTGGACTCGTCGGGGACGACCTCCAGCGGTGTCGACGCTCATGTCGGTGTCCGATCCCGCCGTTGATCTCGCGGAGTGCCACTGACGAGGTGGCATTCTCTGTCCGTTCATACGGAAAAGGCTCGGGCTCTGACTCTGAGGACCCCAGCTCTGTCTCGGCGGAGGCGGCGGCCTCAAACCTGTACGGGCTTTGGCCTGAGATGGCACCTGCGAGGATGCCGACAAGCGCTGCCAGGATGCGTCCGAAGCGCTGCTTTGGGCCGGGCTCGGCTGCTTGGCCTTTGTTTTTGCCTGGGCGAGCCTTTGCTTCTGGCTGTCCGTCAGGCCCAGACCTGTCTTGGCGTTGGGGTTTGCCTTGGGAACGGCCTCCAGAGCCTCGCCTGTCAAAGTCAACACCCACCTGCTCCCGCAAGCATCGCAGATGCGGATCCGCATGCCTCCAGCCGCGTAGGTCCGTGTGCCCGTTCCGTGGGTGTGGTCGCACTTTGCCGGGCTCTTCGGGTACCGATTGAGCTGCAAGGCATTCGTTGCCGCCATTGCCGCCTGGGTCCCCATCATCGTCACTGCCGAGCAGGGCTCCATGTAGAGCTTCAACACCGAATCCTTCAACTTCGGGCGGAGCGTGGCCGCCGAGTAGTACAGCACCGCCATCTGGGTCGTGTAGATGAACTCCTGCAAGTGCACCAGGATCATCCTCCAGTTCTCCAGCCATGCCGGGTGATCTCGTGCAGGCATGGGGTGGTCGGGCTGCTATCTGCGAATTGCTGATGGCCTTAAGCCTCACTCTGCTGGGCGGAAAAGCTCGCTCATGAATCACATCAGGGGGACCTTGACCGGTGAACTGCATGGAGGAGTACTGGCCGGGCCACTCAAAAGCACTGCTCGGCCACTCGTCAATCTTAAGTGCAAGATGCCCACATGGACTCAAGTACAAACATGTCGACTTTCCCAGCGCCTTGAAATAAATTTCCCCCTCCAAAAGATCCGGCACTGCACCGAGCGCCTCCATTGTTCTTCGCGACAGCAGTCCCGGCGCTGGAGCTTCGACCTCGCTGATGGCAAGAAAAACTGTCTCTCCAGCTATGCCCGCGGGGTAGAGGTACCTTGCTTTGCTCGGCATGCCGTTCGAGGGGCCAAAGGAGTAACGACAAACTTCTTCAAAGCGGAGTGGCACAAGTGGTTGTATCTCGTTACACTTCTGACGGTGCCAAACACTGCCTGCAACCTGACGTTGACACCCAGTATCGGCAATCAGAAAGGAAGCATCCTCGCAAGTGGACAGCATGATCGCTGGAGGGCGCGGCACCTTGAAGACTTCAACCTTTTCCTCCACGGCTTCGGCATGTGACGTCACCATCCAGCTGACAGCGACTGGTGCGCCCTCTGGGTCCAGCTCCATTTCAGCGGAAGCCATCTGTGCCTGGAACTGCGTGACATGCGGGCAGTCTCGAATCCAGTGATCCGAAGCGCCGCAGCCCAAACACAAAGAGCCCTTGAGTCTCATCTGTCGATCCCCATTGGACTTCCCAGAGGAGACGCCCTTGCCTTTGCCCTTGAAGTCCTTGCCCTTGCTCTTGCCGCGTCCCTGCTGCGACTTGGTCTTGCCCTTGCCGCCTTTCTTGCCACCTGCCTTCCCTGAAGGAAAGCCCTTGCCTCTGCCCTCTACGTAAAAGCCTCTGCTCTGCACCAAGCCAGCAAGCTTTTTCGAGGTAACCGTCAAGGCCTCGGCAGCTGCAAGAAGCGCGGAAACATCCTCCGGAGCCTCCTCATTGCCGTACTGGTCCTCGGCAAACTCCGGAACCAGCTCTTCGTCTTCATCCTCCTCGTTGACGTCCTCGTGATTGGGCTCGGCATTCTCGGGGTTTTCGTCCTGGTACTCCTCGTGGTGCTCGTCCTCGCCTTCGGGCGCTTGCTCGCCGTCTCCACCATCCCACTCAGTGTGCCACTGAGTCCATTTCGACCCAGGGAAACGTCCCTGGCTTTTCCGATTCCCTGAGGTCGCGGAAGACTTAAAAGTCGAGGCACGTGAGGAGGACGATCTCGTGGACCGGGAGGACAAAGTTGTCAACCCCTTTGGCAAGCCGGTGATGCTCATACCCGGAGGGTACTGTATGCGGAGGGCCTCGAGCACAGTCTGCATCTGGTACTTGTTGCCCGCCGCCAAAAGGATGGAAGCGGTAGCTTTCTCGTCCAAACGGAGCCCGTCCAAAAGTTTTATCACCCTGGCCTGCTCGGGGTACTCCGGAATCTTGTTCTCGGCCAGCTTGCGCTCCAAGAGCCTGAAACGGCGGATGAACGCCGTGATTGACTCCCCTTGCATCCTGCCGATGGACTCGAATTCCCTGATGACACCCCCCTGTCTGAAGATCTCTCTCTCACCGAAGGCCTTGTCGAGATCCCCCAAAAGCCTTGAAATGCCGTCTGGGTGGTCAAATCTGTCATCGGGAACCTCCTCGAACTCCAGCTCTGCCTCGCCCGTTAGCTTTTCCAAGGCACGCAGGGCTTGTTCATTTGCCGGAAGGAACTCCTTGGTGATCTTGACCCACCGAAGAAGCCTACGGCGGTAATGCCTCAGGCAGTAAGGGTCTCTTTCCACGTCGCCACTAAACTCGGGAGCCGGTGGTACAGCGCCTGACCTCCATCGATGTTCGGCGGAAGCCTGGGCACCACCACGTGACCCACGTTTTCGTCGTCGTCCACTGCCCTGGCTGGGCATGTCGTCGGCCGCGCCGGCGCCCAAGGAGGCGCTGTCGTCCGGGCCAGCGCTCTCGGCGCTTCCACGTTCAGCGGAGTCCTCGCCCTCAGCCTCCAAGCTGAAGTCGAAGAGATCATCGTCAAACAGCGGAGCAGCCATCAGGAACACTACTGTAGCTTTGCTAGAAGTACTGTAACCTGCGTCGCTACCAATGAGAACTTAGCCACTCTAAGCGGAGCCTGGATCTACAGCAACTCCTAGTGCACACGGCTTCAAGACTCTTTTGCGCACGCGTTCCCTTCCCTGCTGAGCCTCGGAACGCCGGTGACACAGGTCTTCATGGCACAAACACACGGCAGACGACTTTGTTCGTTTAGCA